TTATACAATAAAATGTTGCTTGCCGCCTTTCTCCTAGTGCTTTTTTATCAGAACATATACGTCACGCATACATCCATTTGTTCTACAATATGACAAAATGTTCAGAAACCTTTAAAATGTAATTTTGTTTTCAATTTTTTGCGATTACTATAACTTACCCTACTGGAATATAATAATAATTGAGACTATTAATTGAATATAATATTATTAATTTATTTTGACTATTTTATTTCCAAGCAAATGTAAATTCAATCGTATTTTTTTTCTAATTAAGGTTTTTAGAGGAAAACGCAAAATGACAAAGAGGAATATTGATTGCATTGATTGGGATGTCGATAAATATCGAAAAGAAACTGATACCGAAGCACATTGGAATTTACGTAAAAAATTTATGGAAACGCATAAAGACTCATATTCCGAAGAAAGACTTGTAACTTTAGCTCAATTATTTATAAACATTGAATGCTTGGGATGCACGTAAGTTGATATAATATTTGCTCTCTTTTTTGAAAATAATATTGCGACTCATCGATTATAATTTAGATTTTTTGATCTGCTGGATAATAATATAGATGTTATTAATGATAACTACCATGATTAATCATATATGTGTCTCTAGTGGCGGACACCTAAGGTTATTTATAAATTAATCAAAATATATTTCACGAAATGTTTATTAAATTATGATTTGTGTTAGATAACAAAGTTAGAAATCAAACTAAATTAACAAAGCCGCAATCTTTGTTAAAAAATAATTAATACTATCAATCAAACTTTGGTATCAAAAAATATGATTTTAAACAGTGGCACCTAGTACCGGACATTTCAAAATAACCTGCATTGATCACATATGTAGCCATCTCCACACTTTGGAATGTTTGCACGTGTCTTTGACGAATATTCTTAGACATTGCAAAAAAAAAATCATTATCAATCATCCACCCTTTTGGCTGGGTCACACCGATGCTCTCAGCTGGAGCATTCATCATAAGATTTTCATTCTTTGACTAGGAAATATGAAGAATGGGGGTATGTAGTGACCGTTAGCACTCATACAGAACAAAATTAAATAATTGGAATAAATTACGTAAATTCTCACAAGAAATATCAATATGTTTACTGTCCGGCACTAAGAGACGACTTGTGTCCGGTGTTACGGAACAGACATTTTCGTTCATTTGGCGGCACCTACTAAAATTAGTTAAAAGATATAATAATATTCTACCATTTTACGGATAACAATCAAGTACAACTTTTATCTTTGCATACGACTCAAATGTAAATGCATAAATATGCTAGAATTACTTCAATTGATATTTAGGTGAAGCCTTGATTTTGCGCCTAAAACATGAAAGGGTTGCTCTCGCCGTGGCCGTGTGCGTCACAGGCGAGTCTTGGCGCGTGATCCTGTACGTGAGTGTCCCCCATGCCCCTTTCACTTGTATTTTGACATGAAAAGATTTATACTCGCTTAAATAATACGTGTTAATTAGAGTGTCCGGTGCTTGGTGCCGTCCGGCGTTACGGGTCTTCCCCTTTTTTGGGAAATGAAAAAATGAAAAACTAGAAAAATATCAAAACACATATGATGAATGAACCGTTTTTTATGGGGTCAGTATTTATTTTTGAGAGCTACCATTTACGAGTATGTGCTGAAATTTTATATTATATAATAATTCTTTTAGTTTTTTTTTTAAATTAAGCTATTCTGCAATCTGTTAGATTAAACAATGAACAGAGATTGGTTACAATCTAAAAAAGGGATAAAATTATAATTTTCTTATAATAGATACTAAATAATAGATTTATAGTTAGCAACTAATCCAGCAAACGTATGTTTCTCTATTTTATTTTGCAAAATACGAATGAATTGTTAATATGGCGACTTAATTATCTACTTATATTTATACAGATACTCAGATCAGGTCATGGAAATCATCGAAGATCTATCAAAAGACATCGCTTGTGATTTTAGAGAGGAGAAACGTAAAAAGTTGCTAAGGACCACTCTCGAAGCATCAGATGTTGCAAAGGCCAGGGCACAAGGTAAAAGATAGCATGCTTTCTACAAAAATGGTTATTTAGAAAAGCCCTTATTTTTCAACGATTGCTGCTCTTATTATTAACTGATGCATGCGCTTTTTAAATACTAAAGCTGTGATCTTTAACTCTTTCTGTGATCTATCTATTTCTGTGATTTCAATAATACAATTTATATATTTTACTAATGTCAATTTCTGTATGAAATAAAAGTATTACTAATAAAATTGTGATTTCACTTGTTGTGGTATATTAAGGTAACTATACGTCCCGGTTTGGCCGGGATAATCCCGATAATATTTGTTTCGGATTTAAACCTTTTGTCCCGAGGTTTAGAAAATCATAGGTTTAAATTGAATCTTCGCAATTACTTGTAATAAAATTACAAGTTCCAATCAAATATCTGTAAATTTTATATACAACGGGTGTGCTTATATAAAACAATACGTTATGATTTTTTTATTCTGCAATCTGTATATATTATTACATTAAGCAGAGAATGCTGACAAATATATGGTAAAATTAAGTTGATCACAAATTAGTAGATACCCCCAGTGGCGTCTCTACTAGAGCTATTTGAAATATAATACGTTATGAATGATAAAATTGTCAAATATAAAATTTCAAAGGCAGGTTAATATAGCTTATTACATTAATAATTTTGAACTTTCATTTTCAATTTAATAAATATTAGCAAAAATAATGAAAACGACCTGCCTAGCGCAAGTGTTAAGTTAGTAAATACTAAGGTAAAATTATTAAAAGAATGGAACAGAATTTTACATTAAGTCTAAAAGTAAAAAAAATATATAGATCGTATTATATATGATATAATATAATACGACATGTAATCGAATAATGAAGCTATTACTAAGAAAGCTTCGTAGTAAGCTTTCCGAAGAAGTTCATATTTTCTTTGTAAAATTTGTTTTGGTTATTTTTTGTTTTACTCAAGGTTTTGAGTAAATCTAACATTATAAATTATTTGGCATCAGAATAAGAAAAAACATTTATATGTGTGAGTATGTGAATAAAAAAAAGTAATTTTATGGAACTCAATATTTAGATATGCCATGTTTATTTTTTCTTTAGAAATTTTTGTCCACATCTTCGCAAAAATTCTGAAAAAATTCGAACATCGATTGGGAATCATTCTGATTACTATTGGGTAAAAATTGCTCAAGGCATTTGTTTATAAGTAATTATTTAACAAATATTGACGATTTCGATGACGATTCTATCATAATAGAGTCAAGGTCTGATAGAACATCCGAAAATATTATAGGACTACTAAAAGTGGATAGTTTTAAAATTTGTTATCGAAAGTTTTGCAACTAGCACTCACTTACATCTATTTCTAATTTATAGTGTACATTGTATTCTTTGTACAATTTTTATTGAAATTCCATTTTATCACTTACTCATAATTTTCATGTACGTGTAATTAATATATCTTTTATTGATTATGTTACTAAAGATATACTTACAAGCAATTAGATTTAAATACCGATTTTTGATTGTATTTTCTTCTTGTAGTCCATAGAAATATGGTTTCTGCATTCCACTTTTAAAGGCCTATAAAATACAAGAACATCAATTTTGGCAATCACATACGAAATTAAAAACATTCATTACAAATTGGCAGATAAATTTATAGTAAAATTTATATTAAATAATAATATATAATACTGTAATTTTTTTAAACCACGATTTTGATATATTGGGAATTCGAAATTCAAAATTTATACTAAATTATATTTTTTAAATGTACATCATGTTGCAAAATTCATCTAGTACATTCGAAACGATTTCTAAACAAATCGGCATGTATATGCAAAATAATTATTTAATTTTTAACAAATACTTTCAATCAAATCAAGCAGAACATGAATTTAAGCCCGGTGACACGACGCCAGTATTTCTTGTAACAGGATTTCTGACAAGTTGTCTGGTAAGGTAAGCAAGAATTTTGCGCCAGATTTTTACTTATTTTATGATTAATAATAATTTTGTGCATTTTCAAATAGATTATTATAAATATTCATAATTCAGAATTCATATTTTATTGGCCTAAAATTCACTAATGCTTATAAGTGTACAAATAGAACATTGTATGGAAAAGAGAAGCAGAGCATTGCATGAAATGTAAATAATAAACACGGAATAGGACATGCTCTATTCGTAAAATACGGCACAAATTTTTAAGGACAGAAGTTGTTGTGAAATCAGTTTTTGACGTTATTAGGCAACGCTTATAGACAGAAATTGTGAGCTTAAACGTGAAATCTGGCTGGCAAGATCGTAAAATATGTCGGCAAGATCGTAAATTGTGATTTACAATATCATTGCTAACAGCAATGAATTGTGATTTACCATATAATTGCTAAGGTAACAAACTATCCGGCATACACCAATCAGAAAATCTGGAGCAACGGGCTTTATTAAAAGTGCATTCAAAACTAAACCAATAAACTGCATGCTTATAAGAGTAACTCTTCACTAGATACTAAATTTAATCACCTTGTATTGATTTTCCAATTTTCTGTTAAAAATCGAATTTCTCACATAGAGTTCAAACTCATTTACATCTACAGATCTTGAAAACTTAGTTGAATGTTTGATGGTGTGTTTTGCCACTGGATCATCTATGTTTTTAATTTTGTTATATTCGGATAAAATTGATGGAGGCTTTTTATGCTCTGGATAACCATCAGAAACGTATTCGTTTAGCAACTTTTCATTATTTGGCACATCGTTTAGCATAACCAATTCACTCGGCATAGCATCTTTAGAAGCCATCGCTTTTAAATTTCTATAACACCTGAAAATAAAATGTTATTTATGCACAAATATTATAAAAAGGTATATAAAAATTTTATTTTCGATTTTTTGGGATTGCTCATACCCTATGGGAAGTTAATAAAACCGTTTAAACATGAAAACGTAGACCAAAATCTTACTTTTTGTACAGCAGATACATAATAAGTGGCAGCACTAACAGAACCAATAACCACAAGTAATTAAGACTATTTGCCATCCAATCATCATCATCATTGACACTATCCTTATCATCATTGTCGTCATAATTATAATATTTACGGTTTGTTAATATTTTGTATTTTTTGTGGCTATTCACTTCATTGTAATAGGCCAAAGTTACAATGAATTTTGAATCTGGTGCTAGTTCTATATCCCAAAATTCCGCTTCTGTTGAATTTGTCCCAATCATTTCAGTACTGTTCGAACTCGGAATCTTAAAATTCATATTATATTCACAAATTAAGAAAAAAAATATTACTAATATTTATATAAAATCATTATAATTTTTACCGGTGTAATATGTTTCGCTATCCACGAAGTTGAGTCTTGGAAAATTAGATTTGATGTAAGGCTCCCAAAGTTTTCTTTTAATTTTGAGAATGCATCAGCCTTTTCTTTGTATAAATGCTTTGGTTTTGGTTCAGAAATGATCACAAAAATTCCACTAAAAATATGTATCATAAAATTGTTATTTTAGTATTATATAATTTATTGAATCTTGCCTTTTTTTAGTGATATTTTGGCTTGATGATGGTATAGTTATGAATGTCTGATTATTTTGTTTGGTGATTATTATCAGCCCATCTACTTCGGGTGCACTAAAGTCGGTAGTAATAAAAACTTGAGAACTTTTTCCTCGAAGTTGATTGTATGGTGTTACGATCACCAGATAAGTACTAGCACTTAGTAATCCAGAAAGCTAAGGAAATAATTTTTGTGAATGTTCAAATTAATTACAGTCTGATCTATAGGAATATAATATGTGTGCGAGGTCAATATATCATATAAATAGATCAATAAACTCATATAAAACTTAACATCAAGGCAAAAATGTTAAAATGTTACATACATCGATTTTCTCTAAAATATAGTTAAAATTTATTACAACCTAATTTTGAGTTTTGTTAGGTTGAGACAAATTGATTGTTGAAAATGATCATAATTTTTGAAGGAGGATAAAAATATTATTCACTACCTAAACAGACAGTTTGCGGTCAATACTGGGCGTTAAAAATAGGCCTTTAAATTATATTATATAAAGTTTTAATACGCACAGTTAATAGAATTTACAATATTTTGAGTGTCTACGAATAACTGAAAATTTTCAAAAGATATTAGTAAATATTTCAACTAGTAGAGTGAACATTTTCATTATTTTAGTTGAGAAATTTAAAACCCAAACTGTTAGCCTTATTTGGGGTCTTTACTGAAGATCATATACTCATAAAATAATACAAGAACAAAATTCTATATAAGATATTTATGCTGATATTTAAGAAAGATTGTTTGTATTTTTCTACAATCTACGATCTCGTATCATATAAACATCTTTTATAATATATGAAATTATTGATAAAATAAACAATTTAGGTTACTTTTATTTGATTATTTCGTTTTATATCAATTTTATCGTATAATGATCGTATTCAAAAATTAAAACTTATCGATATCCAAATTGTTGAGTAAAATCTAAACTTTGCCTGAAGAGAAAACCCATGTCGTATTTCAAATGATTAAATAATATATATCTAATGTGCAAAGTAGTTAATCTATAAAATAATAAAAATATAATATTTTATTATTATAAATAATATTATGTTATTTTGATTGGCGTCTATATTGCCAGTATAAACAAAGAATTAAATTGTCTATTTTTTGCCTATAAACCATATTTTCTTTTCAAAAGTGATCTTATCACGTCTCTATGCAGCCAAAGTAGTGCGATTATTACTATATAGGCGATTGCTTTGATAAAAAGTTTTAAAGATATTTCAAAATAAAAAAAAAATTTCAAAAAAAATTTAAAATTTTTCAAAAATATAACTTTATTAAAGTTAAAAAAAATTAATCTTTTTAAAAAAAAATAATTTTTGGTACGGAAAGTTTCAGCAATTTGCCTTAAGGCACGATGCCATACACCACTAGTTATTTTGATTTTTTTATACATTTTTATTTACCATGTATGTATAATCCTTCTTATCTTCTTGTATTATATAATTATACCGCGTTTTGTGTGTATCATTGATATTGGTGAGCTCCGTGAAATAAATATTGTATTCAATACAAAAGTATTGAATCTTTCCACCAGGCTTCCATGGATGACGCCATTGAATTAGAAGATTATTTGACTTATCTACCCGCAGATCTAAAGGGGCCGATGAATCTGTTCGATAAATAAGAAATATTAATAATAATGCTTATTTCTGTATTTCATTTTGGAACTTACAGAATTGATTTGTTTTTGCTGATGCCGTTGTCAACAGTCCATTTTGATTGTTCACATCAACGCCATGTATCTATGAATATAATAATATTTAACATGGAAATATTTCGTAAACGTTTGCTATTGCATATCGATTAACTACTAAATTCAACTATTTCCTATTGATGATTAGTATTTATGATTTATTTATGATTTATTTATGATTATGAGGGAAATCAAAAGCTATAGCAATAATTAAAGAATAAAAAAGGAAAACAAATTTATATTTGCAATTTATATGCCTATGGAATCAATAATGTCAAATATCAATACTGATAAATTTCATTGAATATCCATTCATTATTTAGACACTGTATTATTACAGTGTCTAAATAGTAAATGCATATTCAGTGAAATTATAAATTGTAGGCTTTAGTGTTTTTATTTCTTACTAGCCGACCCGACAGACTTCGTCCTGTCAAAAAAAAATGTAATGTGGCGGTGTTTTGTTCCTACCTTTTTTCTATTCTCTGCAAAAAATTATCCTGAACAGAACCGTCACATTGGTAATAATTCGGTGTGAATTAAAAATAATTAAATAAAACACTATAAGCATTTAAAAGTAAATAATTTTAATCATGTAAATCATAATTCAAAAACCAGTTCAATTTTCATTGTAGTGCTTTGTTATAAACGATGTTCTTTGTTTGATTACCTGGCGCATAGACAAACAAATCTGATGGTTTTCCAATACGGGAACAGACAACATACAATTTTCCATGTGAGAAACATGGGTTTTTTAACTTCCCGTAGGGCAAGTTATAGTAATCGCAAAAAAATCGAAAATGAAAATTTTTATATATCTTTACGTTTCAGAGGTTTCTGAACATTTTGGCATACCTTAGAAAAAATGGATGTATGTGTGTGTGTGTGTGTGTGTGTGTGTATGTGTGTGTGTATGTATGTATGTATGTATGTGTGTGTATGTATGTGCGGATACAAATTTTCGTCGACGATTTCGGGAACACGGATCAACCGATTTGAATAATTCAAAAAACATTCGATCCGTATTGATAAGGAGACGTGCTGATTAGTTTTTGGCAAAGGCAGGTCAAGCCGTTCCGAAGATACGGGGCAAAAAGTTCCGAAAACGGTAACTCAGTTTTTAAGAGAACGGAGCGTCCGATTTTAATAATTCAAAAAACATTTTATTTGTATTGACAAGATGAAGAATCGATACAACTTTCATGAAGGTAGGTCCAGCGGTTTCGGAGATATAGAGGAAAAAGTAAAAAAATGAGCCATTTGGCGGTCAAAAATGATCATTAGACATATGCACATCAAATTATCAGACATTTTATAGAGATTTTAACAATAAGTATACATTTTGTTAACATTCCTATCGGTTCCGTACCAATGCTTATGCGTAAGACAGCGACGCGGCGCTTACGCGCTTTATATTTTGTCCCTATGTAGTTAAAGCAGTACGATTGCTTTGAAAAAAAAGTTCAGATCTTCCACAATATGTCAAAATAAAGAAAAAAAAATTTTTTTCAAAAAAAAAAAATTTTTTAAAAAAAAAAATTTTTAAAAAAAAAATTTTTTTTTTCAAAATAAAACTAATTTTTTGTCCAATTTATAGTTTCTCAAAAATCTTATTTTTTCAAAGTAATTTTTTTTCAAAAATGTTAATCGTTTTAAAAAAAAAATAATAATTTTTGGTACGGGAAGTTCCAGCAATTTGCCTTAAGGCACGATGCCCTAATTGCCTTAAGACAGAATTCCACTTACAGCTAGTTTCAATTTAATACCACAAACACTTAATGATACCATAAACGCACTGGAAACTGTAGTCGTTTAATCTCAAATGGCACATCAGTCGGAATCATTGAGATGCACGGTGCGAGAACATCTTCTGCTTTATACTATCCTTTCAATAGTTGCTTCCATCACGTTGTTTGGTATTAGATTATCAAAAACTACACAAAATGTCATGACATAGATCATTGTTTTTTTCTACAAATTTCGTTGCATACTTGACTAAAAAAAGAAAAGGGCTGTTTTTAGGGTTTTCCCGGCAATTATTCGATTTTTTCTCGCCGTAAGAACCATCCTTGGACTTCAACAAACATTTTAAAAAAAGAATTGGCCAAATTGGTCCAGGCGTCGTTGAGTTATGCGCTTACCAACACATTTTGCGATCCATTTTTATATATAAGAAGAAGATATGGTACATTTCCATAAATATTATTGTTTTATGTCTTCTATTTTAAGGTTTTAAATGCTCTTAAAAAATCATTTTCCATAAATAATAAAAAACGACATTAATTATGCAATTTATTACAAAAGTTCATGAATGATCAATGATATAATATTAGTTTGAATTAGTTGCAACATTCCAATTGTTGAATTTCTGATTACAAATGGGAAATATTTTTCAACAAAATTTAATGTGGTAATAAACATTTTTGATCGATTAGATATAGATTCCTGGTGTATTTAATCCCAGGCCTTTCGAAGGTGTTCAGATCAGAAGTAACTTAACTTACGTAATTTCGTAAGTTAAAAACTATTTTTTAACTCGATGATCACTTTATCAGTATTGATATTTGACATTATTGATTCCATTGGCATATAAATTGCAAATATAAATTTGTTTTCCTTTTTTTATTCTTTAATTATTGCTATAGCTTTTGATTTCCCTTATAATCTCATTCCATAATATCATCGTTGATTGTTGATATTTGTTGCATACATTGCATTCAAATTGTTATTATATAGAGTTAAGGATCCGGAAGTAAAATGGTCAACCATAGATATCTCAAAAACAAGTAAAGTTAGAAGTTTTTTAATAACTATACATGGAAGTAGAGGAAAAAAGACGTATAGGCAGCCATCACATTGATTCTTACGACGTCGCTATTAGAAGATAAACGGAAATGATTAATATTGAATAACAAAATTTTGTTATTTTTTTGGTTTTAAGCACTTTTGTTTAGTTTAGAAACCTCGATAACCTTAAAAAAAGCTTACATGCATAGATAAGCAAGTATAAAACAAGTATGCTTACATGTATGTGGGATAAGAAAAAAAGCCTTTACCCTGGCAAAAGGTGTAAACAATCAAATATAGTAAATTAGGTTTAAAAGGGCAATTTTATAAGATATGTTTTTAATAAATTGTTATTCCAACTTTACTGATGAATATTTCTGACAAAATTCCAGATCAAGTTTATATATACAGTATTATCTCTGTAAAAACTGTAACCAAGACATTTATATTAGGTGAAGTAAAAAAAAATCTATTATTAATTTCGCGAAGGAGAAGTTTATGTTTTCATAAAAATTCCGATTCGCTAATTTTATGTTTTGTCGACGTTTCAAGCCATTCTGAATCAAATGAGACCAAATTTAAAAAATCAAAAACTGTTCGAAAGATATTAGTTGGGAATGATTCTGATTACTTTTAGGTGAAAATCTACCAAGCCGGGTACCTAACTAGTTTGTATTGGTATTTTGCCTTGAGACAAGTTACATGAACTTCACGATATGTGTAAATAATAGACTTAATCAATAAAAAATAAATTAATTTATAAGTGATTAAAAGTATTCCGATTGGATTTATTACACATATTTAAAAACAAATTTTCACAAATCAACAATTTTTGTAATTGAACCAGTTTCCGTAGGACTTTAATGGGTTAGTATGTTCATTAAGACTAAGTACTCTATCACTATACCAAGTAAATCGTCTGATTTTAATTTTAACAAACGACAAAAACATTACCCATTTTCTCAAACTTTGATAAATTTTTAAAATTAAACTACTTGTCGTAAGGCCGTAATATTTCAGTAAGTTGTATAAGACCATGATATATATCGCCAAAAAAAGTTCCATAAAAATCGGCTTAAATTTTTTTTAACAGTTAATTACAAGAAAACGGCTTGATAGATTTTCTCCTAAAACTAATCAGTATTATTCCCAACTAATATCTTTCGAACAGCTTTTGATTTTTCAAAATCGATTCGGTAGTTTGAGCTTAAATGTGTTAACACTTTTTTTTCAAATTACAAAAAACGGCTCGGCAGATCGTCTCACAGAACTGACAAATGATAGTCCTCATTGATATACATCAAAAGGTTTTTAAATTTCTGAAATCGGTTTAGGCGTTTTTGAGAAAACGTCGATCAAAGGCCTAATTTTGACAAATGCCAAAAAACGATACTAATTTTTGCAAACTTTGAAGAATTTTTAAAATTAAACGACTTTTCGTAGGGCCGTAATATTTTAGTATGATCTATAAGACTATGGTATCTACCGTCAAAAAAATAATAATAAAAATCGTCGAAATTTTTTTTTAACACTTTATTACAAGAAAACGACCCGGCCGATCTCTATCAAAAACTAATCAGCACGATTCCCAACCCATATCTTTTGAACGGTTTTTGAATTTTCAAAATCGATTCAGAATTGCGGACTAAAACGTGGACGAAAAAATTTTCACTTTTCTGCTATTTATAAGGAAACGGCTTGGCCGATCGTCGCACAAAACTTACAAACAATAATCCTCATGGAGATTCATCAAATAGCTTTTAAATTTTTGAATTCGGTCCAGCCGTTTTTAAGAAAACGTCGATTTACGGCAAAAAACCTGTTCACACACACACACACATACTTTTTCCAAATTTGGTCTCATTCGATTCAGAATGGCTTGAAACGTCGAGAAAACATAAAATTAGCAAATCGGATTTTTTGATGAAAACATAAACTTCTCCTTCGGGAAGTTAAAAACTAATAACCAAATTTAATGGTAGATTGAAATTTAATATGTTAAATTAAATATTTTAAAAAATCATTCTACATTTTCATGATCAATTCATAGTATGATGCATTATCTTTTCGCATATACTTTTTGTAATACAAAGTACAAAGTAAAAAATTATTACTATGTTCACATGCATTAATTTTTGTAATAATAATTAAATCGTATTTGTAATAAATTGTAAAATCGTTAAAAATCACAATAATTTGCTCAGGTGGTTACATGGACACAAAAACTCAGAAAGTTTTTGAATTTTGCTATTTCTTAAGCATAAAATTTTGCTAAATAAGCATTTTACTCACTGAGATTATGTACATTTTGCTATGAGTTAAACTAGAAACTGTATAGCACAAATATCCTTCCCATATAGTGCAGCTTGCATTTGATATATTTGCTCTATGTTCATAATTGAACGGAATTGAATATATATCACGAACAGTGATCAAGTAATAATCAAAAGTTTCTTTGGCTGAGTTAGACTTTTTCCATCTCAATGATATGCTATTTTCTTCACTCGAATACACTTCAATTTTTTTAGGAGCTTCCAGACCTTTAAAAAATATGAATATTAATATATAAAATAGTTTTTATAATTTGAAATTAAATGAAACATGAAAACTTTCCATGCATAACATATTATTGTCATTTTTTCAAATAGTCAAGCGACTTTGCATTTTGAACAATTTTAATGTAATTGATGTGTATGTAGTCTGTATGTAAATAATATGATTTAAATACGTTCGTATGTAGATTTAATTTCAGGGCATGCCGCGTTTTCAGGAGAATTCATTTTTAAGGATCAATAATAATTTTAGTAGCTCAAGAGTCGTTGGTGGTTCATAATTCATTGGAAATAGTCATTACTAAGCCAAAAATATGTACTGCATATTCTTTAATTCTGAAACACTTTTTCACATTTGTTTAAAAAAATTTGGAACCCCATTCTTATCGGTTGTTAGAAGCGCTGTTTAAAAATGAATGATGTGTTTGAATGCAAAAAATTTATCAAATTTTTATTTTTTTATTATTGATTAATAGAAAAATCGTGAAAAAATTAAATTCTTATTGATTCTCATTAACTGTATGTAACCCAATCAACTGCAAACTCAAATTAGGGTTCTGATAGAAACAAAAATTAAACAAAAAAATAAATGTTCAAAAATTGTCTTACCATCACAATCAGCTATATTGAATCCAGAAATGCACTGATTATTTTCTTTATCTATGTCATACAATTTATATTTATAGCAGGAATATCCATCCACCCAGTTTTTACAATTCTGGTAATTATGCTGAATTAAGGTTGAAATCTTAGAATTTTTGCTATTTTCTGATATTTTTCATCCAATATTTGGCAAGATTCGCTTGTTGATGATGTATATTTTTCAATATACTTTTGTTCACCTGCATTTTTGAAACACAAAATATTTATTCATTATATGTTATAGTACTTATTAAACAGTTAATACCTGAATTGCATATTCTTGCATTACTTATAGCCCAGAATTTGTCATCATTATTCGAAATAGTAGTAAATTTTACTCTTGCATTATATTTTCTACCGGGGAAGGAAAACTTGAATTTTTCTTCTCTCCATTCATAAAATTCATTTGAATGGATTCTACTCTACAAACAATTTGTTTGGTTTTAATCAATCATGCGAGATGTATTTTATTTAGCTTTTTTGGGTATGTGTTAATGGTGAACCATATTTGATAATGTATACTGCACTAGTTTAAGCAGCTGGGAAATTATTAGTTATAGTATGTTATGTTACAGATAAATAGATTTTCTGCTTTTTCGGCTACGATAAGAACTGAAGCGTTTTACAAAATCTATGTTTAGCACGAAATATGGTTCAGTAAAAACTTTTTTCTTACACATTCATGGTCTAAAATGCTACTGTTTTTATTTGGGCGGGCATTCATGAGATATTATTTTTATAAATGTGAAATTGTGCAAATGATTAAATAACATAAAAAAGGTAAAATTTAATATATATTACTTTTTTCCATAGACAATATTGGAATTGAATGTATCACGATCTTCAGTTTCGATATGAAGTTGTAATGCACAATTGTGGCACATTGCAACAGTTAGACTCAAGCATAATTCAGTTTTGCCGATTGTTAAATAGTTATAATTTTGATTTCTGATGTATAGTAATCCTTTATCTATATTTGTCTTACATATCAAAAAATCATCTGAAAAAAGGCAAATAGTTAATTTCTTAAACAGCAGTAGCCAAAATATTCTATTAGATTACATTTATGTAATTTCCACAGGGCATCAGATTCGCTTTGTACTTTAAAATAATATGCATTTATTGGCTGAGATCTATCTTCATATCGCAATATAGGAGCATATACTAGTGAGTCTTTTAAGTTTGCCAATAACTTCAATTCAGTGCTTGTTTTATTTTTATAAATAGATAGTGTAAAATGTTTCCACTTTTCTTCATCCAGTAAGATCTGAAAATGATACAAACATCATATGGGTTTTCTGATACTAATTGTAAACTTCAAGGTTTTGTTTGCTTGTACGAAAGTTTCGGTAAATATCAGTGGAATGTTTCTTTGTAATTAATTGAAAGCTTTTTGAGGGTTTGGGTGAAACTCTTTATGATGGTAGAGACTACTGTCTTAAAAAATATATTAAAATTTTATGACCCTGAGACAAGTGGTTTAAATTTAAAATTTTATCAAAATTTGAAAAAAAAAATGATTTGTTTTCGGCGGCGTTTCCTGAAAAACGGCTGAATCGATTTCAAAATTTTAAAATCCATTAGATGAAACTCAATAAGAATTCACGTTGGTTAGGATTGGGAGACGATCAACCAAATCGTTCCTTTAAAGTTGGCAGGCAAAAGTGCAAATATTTAATCTATAAAAAAAAATTGAAAATTTAAAACCCAGTAGAAAGATAGCAATAGAGAATAGTATTTATTAGTTTCAGAAACATTTCTTTCGTATTTAAATGTTAAAAACATTCTTCGTTTTAAAACAAACTTAAAATGGCGAAAGAGTTTATTATCGTGCTCCCCAAAATATTGTAACTCTTCGAAACTTGGTTGATTTATAATAAAAGCATTATAGCTTGGAACAATGGTCCGCGCTTTTAGGACATACGAGCGCCTGTTTGAGCACTATAATTAATACTATTACAGATATCATAATTTTGTTTGAAAAATGACAATTATAAATTGCATTGATTGGTTTTTTGCAAAAGGGAAAAATTTATTTTCGAAAAAAAGAATTGAAAATAGCATTCTTAATTCTTATTGATTTAGTAGATTATTAATGCCTATTGGGAAGTTTATAGAACTTATTACATGTTACATGGTAAATAGTCTAAAATCTAAATCGCTAAATCTCATTCGTAAACGCATGGTACCTTATTCTATACTTTTATACGTCTATATAGGTCTTCTATATATATATATATATATTTTTATTGGAATAGTTGCATATTAATATTAGGTGAAACATACCTGATTTGTTGTCGCAGGACCTCGTATTATATCGCATTTTTTACGTATACATTTCCTTATAAATGAACTACTAGTGCCAAATTCAGCTATCGTAACCTTGTAGCAATCATGTTCTAAGTCTTTATCATCACATAATATCAAACTTGCATTTGAAGCTGATTTCACAGATATACTGATGTGTGCTGAATCTTCTTCTTGAAATGTTTTGCTTTGTATATGGTAAAATGTATTTGTGTTGTGAATATCAAGATCTGAAATAATAATTTTGAATTGCTATAAAATATAAGAACATTATTTTCAATTAATAGTTATGCCCTTGCAAGGCGAAAAATCTGCTTTGAATATCGTAAAATATATAATTATTTTCATTATCCTTGTTGAAATGTTCAAAAAAATTAATAAAAATATATACACTAGAATAATAATACTATTATACTAAATTTTTTTGATTCCAAAATAGATAATAATGACTTACAATTCATTTTATTCTACTAAAAATTGCTAGTTTATCATAAGAATTATTTGTTGATGTAGGTGTAGGGTATGGGTAGGATGGGGCACTAAGGTCAAAATTGGCTTTAAGGATTTATATTGCATCAAATGACACATATCTAAGAAACTCCCAGACAACTTCTAATTATAGAAAGGTGTTTTATAACTATTTTTCTAAAACTTGTCATATGACCCCAAAGGCGGGATAAAATGGACAGCCAGGGAGTTAACAAATACAATGTCTTATTTTAAATTTTGAAGGGATTTTGTTAAATAGAAATTTTACAAGTATCTACATTCATATAGAAATAAACTGTATATAAACTTGATCTAGTATTTTGTCAGAAATATTAAACAGCAAAATATTTGTTGTTTGACTAAATTCACTATTTTTTTTATTGTTTATACCTTTGCCAGGTTAAAGGTTGAATTGGTTTTTTTGACTCCACACTGATCAAGCTTTTATAAGGGTTACAAACTGTTAAATCTAACTTAAAATTAACAATGCATATTTTAAAGCAATTAAATAAAGTAAACTTGAAAACTATATTGAGGTCTCTTAAACTAAACAATAGTGCTCACAACTAAAAAAACTAACGACAAAAGGAAACACTTTTGTTATGGATTTTCAAATATTTACATTTATCTTTAGATAGCAACGCGTAAGAATCAAGGTAATGGTTGGTTATACATCTATTTCCCTCTACTTTTAAATATTGTTGTTAGAAAAATTGTAACTTTACTTGTTTTTGATATATCAGTGATGAACCTTTATGACCGCCCTACTCTACAATGGATTTTTGAGTCCTACTCTACCCTTTATTATGAAATGTGTGCCTTAATCAAGTATAATGATATTAAGAAAAAGTAAATTGATAAAATGTGCACCCTAATCTTTGATCAAATATTATATTGTAATGTATTATAACTTATTCATTATGTATAGGATTAATAAAATTTTATTCAAATTTTATGTTAACTCTAATTCTGTATTAGCTGACTTGCGGTAATTTTGATATTTTATATTTTAGACAAACCATTCCAAGCGGAATCCGTTCTTGGTATAAAAGGATATCGAAAACTACTTGCAGGTTTCCAGAACTCATTATTTAATACATTTGTGCATTCGTTTGCAAATGCACAATTTAGTTGACTCCAAGTTTCAGGATTATATTTCGGTTTTGAGTTTGGATCTGCAAAATAGTGTCCAATTATATGATTTTACATGGTTTTCTAAATTAAACCTATTTTTCATACAGTATATTAGGGTATTTTTATCACTTGCACTAATGGCCCAGTCGACAGCAGAAGTTGCTACTTCTCCGGACAGGACGCAGAATGCTTTCCTTTCACCTTCGGCAATAAAAGCCCCATCTTGAGCAACACTGATCGATGTGTATATTAATAAAAGTTGGATCACACTTGAAATAATAATAAATTCAGTTAACAGCTTATCAATCAATATTTTTTATTGACTACATTTTAACATTTCCTTATATACCCCCATTCATATTTTTGCCTGTTTACTTGAATTAAAACTTTCTACTATTTTCTTGAAAAAGTCATTGAATGATTTATATGTTTTAGTAAAATTACCTATTTTACTTTTTCTATTTTACTGTTTTCGTCAAAGTTTTCCAAAAAAGGCTGCATCGATTTCAATATTTTAAAAGCCTTTTGATGATATATGACAAGGAGTTGCATTTGCACCGGCTAAACAGTTTTTTTTATAATTAACAAGTATTTGCAAAAATTTCAAACAACGTTTTTCTGATCAGGTTTTAGCAAACAGATTTAGTGAACAGATTTTGAAAATTCATAAACTTTTGTTGTTAATTGTGCTGGTTAGAGTTTGGTGAAGATCGACCGAGCTTCTTATTTGTAAAAAAAATCAATTTATGGTCAATATTACCCTACAAAAACGGATTTATTGTAAATTCATTAAAGTTCTTTTATTTCAAAATTTTTGCCAGAATTCTAAAGCTCACTTATATTCTTGAAACTAGTGGGGCGCATGGCATTGTGCCTTAAGGCAAATTGCTGGAACTTCCACTACCAAAAAAATTTTTTTTTAAATGATTAACATTTTTGAAAAAAAATTACTTTGACAAAAATAGATTTTTGAAAAACTATAAATTTTCGACAAAAATTTACTTTTTTTGAAAAAAAAAGACTGAAAAAAAATGTTTTCTTTATTTTGAAATATTTTGGAAATTCTGAACTCTTTTTCAAAGCTCGTACTGCATTAACTGCATAGAGACGAAATATCGAAGCGCGTAAGCGCCGTGTCGCCGCTAACGGATAAACATTGGTACGGAACCGAGAGGAATGTAAACATAATTTATACTTATTGTTAAAATCTTTATAAAATATAATATATAATATCTATAATTTGATGCGCATATGTCTAATGATCATTTTTGACCGCTAAATGGCATTTTTTTTTACTTTTTTCAATAGATCTCCGAAACCGCTAGTATCAAAAACTGGAGTTAACGGTTGTGGCACTTTTTGCCCCGTATCTTCGAAACGGCTAGACCTGCTTATGCCAAAAACTAGTCAGCTGGTCTCCTTTCAACAACAATCGAATGTTTTTTGAATAATTGAAATCGATTGAACCGTGTTACACTTATACATCCATTTTTTCTAATTATGCTAAAATATTCAGAAACCATTGAACGTAAAAATATAAAAAAAAATTATTTTCGATTTTTTGCGATTACTATATCTATCCCTACGGGATGTTAATAAATAATTTTAACTTTGCAATATAGTTTATATAGTTCTTATAAATATGAGATAAAAGACTAGATTCTAACTTCGCTTAATTAACTTTTGTTTATTTATTTTTTATGTAAATATATATCGTCATTGTCCAATTTATGTGCTCTCATATTTTGTCTGTAAAATACTAATAATAAAAGTTACAGGATTTATAATAATCTATTTGAAAACATTTAAAGTTCCTTGAAAATTTCATTACGGTGAGGGTTGTTCCAGCAATTTGTCTTAAGGAACGATGGCATGTATCACTAATTTCAGTATACCTTTATTTGGTCGAATCAATAAAAAACAGGAAATATGTCCTGGTACTTATCAGAAGTTCATACTTATCTTGTTTATTATGTGTAAGAAACGTTAAAAATTGATTTTATTTTAAAAAATCGTTCAGCTTATGAATCACTCTATCTAATCAGAGTTTTTATGATTTAGTATGGCTTTATCAACAATTACATTTTTTATCAAGTGTATACAGTTATAATCTACTATAATATCATTATAAATATATTGACTTTCAAGATATAATTAAGAATATCTGCGATAACATTAATTACGAATAAATAATTATTTCATTCTTTTCTAAAGTAATTTGTTGATATTGAATAAACAAAAGTTCTAAGCTTGTTGAGATAGGTCAAGATTTAAAAATACAACTAGTGGTGCATGGCATCGTGTTCTCAGGTAAATTACTGGAACTTCCCCTACCGAAAACTAAATTAAAGGTTAAAAAAAGCTTTGTACATAAAATACCATATAAATGTACATATTATTTGTACTTATTATTATAATCTCTATAAAATATCTGATAATACTATATAGACATATCTAATGTTCATTATTGGCCGCAAAATGGCACTATTTTTTACTTTTTTTATTACGCTCGACCTGCCATTACAAAAATTTTACCATTTGTTCATTTTGTCAATACAAGTAAAATGTTTTTTGAATTATTTAAATCGGACGCTTTGTTATCTTAAAAACTAAAGTACCATTTTTGGCACTTTTTCCCCGTTCCTCCGAAACGACTATACCTGCCTTTACCAAAAACCAAGCAGCACGTCTCCTTAAGAGAAATCAAATGTTTTTTGATTTCTCATAAGGTTTGTTTATATACATCATTTTTTTTAAGGTATGCCAACACGTTCAGAAACCTTTGAAACGTAAAGATATATACAAATTTTCATTTTAGATTGTTTTGCGATTACTATATCTAATTAATAATTAATAAAGATATTAACTTACCGTAAGGCAAGTTATAATAATCACCAAAAAAGCTAAAATAAAAATTATTTATATATCTTTACATTTGAAAGGGTTCTAAAATGTTTGGAATACCTTATTTAAAAAAAAATAATGTATGTCTGTTTGTGTGCGGATACAAATTTTTTTCGCCGATTTTGAAAACATGGGTCAACCAATTTGAATGATTCAAAAAACATTCTTGTTTTATTGATGGGGGACGCGATAATTAGTTTTTGGAAAAAGGCAGGTCAGCCGCTTCGAAGATAAGGGTCGAAAAGAGTCAAAAATTAAGAGAATAGAATGTCTGATGTGAATGATTCAGAAACAATTTACTTATATTGGCAATATGAAGAAACAATTAAATTTTTGCGAAGGCAGGTGTGGCGGTTTCGGAGATCCAATAAAACAAGTTATAAAAAAATGTCAATTGGTCATTAAAAATGATCATCAGACATATGCACATCACAATTATAGAGATTTTAATAATGAGTACAAGTTTTGTTCACATTTCTATGGTAATTGTACAAGATTTGTTTTACCGTTTGTGTTTAACCGTTTTGATGCGACGCGGCGCTTACACGCTTCGACATTTCGTGTCTTGAACAGCCACGCAGCGTGACTTCTTTGAAAAATATTCAAAGATTTTTAAAGAAATTCATAATTCTGAACTCTTAAGAATTTTAAATTACGGTACGGAAAGTACCAGCAACTTGCCTTACGGTACGATGTCGTACACTACTAGTTTTACTATTATAAAAGAACAAAGTTATTGAATTTCTTTTATTTCGAAATGATTGAGAATTTTTTTTAGGAACACCTTCTCAATTCTCTTTCTTATAAATAAATTTAAGGAAATAATTACAACGCTTCTTAGTCATTGGCTTCATATAAATTGATAATTTTTGCCAAGCACATGATAAATATAGATTAAAAACAAACTACATCTTTAAAAATGGATTGCTAGTCCATTTTACTTACATGATCATCATTACAAAAATATAGTCCAAAATTATTAAAGCACAAGTTTTAAATTAATTCGAAGCACTTTTAAATCACATCTTTGCTACTATAGCGTTTCACATATTACATTTGACTGTAACTTTTATCTTCTATGACAAATTGCAAACTGAATCATATCATATCTTTTTTATAATGTATGAAGATAATAAAAATTGCTCAGCACTTCATGCGAGTTCTTTTTCTTTACGTTCACGTATGAGGTAAAGATTGGTTTTATCTTCACGTACACACATGTACTTCTACTTAAATATTACTAAAAAAAGCAAAGTATATGAAAACTATCATTTCGTGGTCGCAGACAGTCAATATTATGACATTTTTAAGTAAATATTAAAACATATAAATTCTTATCTAAATCATATACATACCCATTCACACGTTCGCATGGATACAGACAGATTTATAAAAAATATTGCCGAATTCATTTGCATATTATATATCAAAATTCATATTCCAGATTAATATTCACATGTAGTTTTCTCGACGTTTCAAATCATTCTGAATCGTTTAAGTCTATAATTGAACTAGTGGTGCATGGCAAAATTGCTGGAACATTCTTTTCTATACCATAATTAACTTCCCGTAGGGTAAGTTATAGTAATCGCAACAAAATGGAAAATGAAAATTTTTATTTATCTTTACGTTTCAACGGTTTCTGAATGTTTTGGCATACCTTAGAAAAAATGGACGTATGTGTGTATGTGTATGTGTGTGTATGTGTGAGAGTGTGTGTGTGAGAGTTTTTACCGAAGCAGGTCCAGCCGTTCCGAAGATACGGGGCAAAAAGTGCCAAAAACGGGACTCAGTTTTTAAGAGTCTTATTTTCTAGTTTTAGTGCAAGATGATTTTGTTCCAAGGTAATTACTAAAATGTTCAAATGAAAAAAATTTAATTTTAATTTTTTTTGAATTTTGTGCGGTCTGTAACATAACTTACCTAAATTCCCAGAGTGATATTTTTCAATAAATGTTCATACTTCTTGAATTAATTTCAAGATCATTTTACTTTTTAACACATTACATGTTTTGCGTCATTGGTTTTTATTAGTAAAACACGATTTTCATACACTATTATACTATGGTGATGCTTTACATTAATTAACACATATTTTTATCTTGCTTAAATATTTTTTGTTTGATTTATTTTTCAGGGCAGAAGTTGAAACTGTTGCTTATTTAATAAGTTTTCTCTATTATAAATGCTTGTGCTTTATCAGTATTAAGTTACAGTAGGGTAAGTTATATGAATCGTCCAAATTTGTAAATGAAAATTTTTGCATATCTTTACGTTTTAGAGGTTTCCGAACATTTTGGCATACCATAAAAAATTGATGTATGTATACGTGTATGTGTGCGTGTGTGCTTATGTGTGGATACAATTTTTTCAATCGAATTGAATGGTTCAAAAAGCCATTGATTTCTATTCATGGCGAGATATGTTGATTAGTTTTCGGCAAAGGCAGGTCGGATATATGAAAAAAAGTGCAAAAAGTTACAATATTGAAAAGAAAGTACTGATGGGTAGATGTGTTGGTTAGCTTTTGGCAAAGACCGGTCCAGCCGTTTTCGATATACGGAGCAAAGTGTGCAGAAATAGAAATTACGCTTTTTGAGAGAACCGAGCATCCGATTTGAATGACTCAAAAGACATCTTACTTGTAATTGCGAAATGAAGAATTTATGTAATTTTTGCGAAGGCAGATCTAGCGTTTTCGGAGTTATAGAAAAGAAAGTTAAAAAATGACATTTGGCGTTCAAGAATGATTATTGGACATACTTACATCAAATTATCAGATATTTTATAAAGATTTTGATAACATGTTCAAATTTTGTTTGCACTTCTTTGAGTTCCATATAATGTTTACTGCAGCACAGTCAGTCAGAAAAAATCTAATTTTTGCGAAGGCAGATCTAGCGTTTTCGGAGTTATAGAAAAGAAAGTTAAAAAATGACATTTGGCGTTCAAGAATGATTATTGGACATACTTACATCAAATTATCAGATATTTCATAAAGATTTTGATAACATGTTCAAATTTTGTTTGCACTTCTTTGAGTTCCATATAATGTTTACTGCAGCACAGTCAGTCAGAAAAAATCTAATTTTTGCGAAGGCAGATCTAGCGTTTTCGGAGTTATAGAAAAGAAAGTTAAAAAATGACATTTGGCGTTCAAGAATGATTATTGGACATACTTACATCAAATTATCAGATATTTTATAAAGATTTTGATAACATGTTCAAATTTTGTTTGCACTTCTTTGAGTTCCATATATAATGTTTACTGCAGCACAGTCAGTCAGAAAAAATCTAATTTTTTCAAAGTTTTCCAAAAATTTTAAATTGTTTACCCTTTTTATACATCCTGATGTCAAGTAGTACATATGTTCATTAAATTATCACATATTTAATGAAAATTTTAATAATATGTTTACACTTCGATGGATTCCATACCAAGATTTATAATGTTTACTGCAACGCAGCCAGTCAGAAAAAATCGAATTTTTTCAAAGTTTTCAAAAAAATTTCAAGCACTTGAAATTTGTTACCCGTTTTGGACAGCCTGATGTCAAGTAGTTGTTTCATACTAGAAAGCGATTTTACTAGAAAATGATTTAATCAAAAAGTCGAAAGTAAAAAATGGAATACTAAAAAAATTACAAAAAATTTAATATATTTACTAATATTATGGAAACGCTACAGAAAATTATCTTAAGTTGAAACATATATGAGAAATTTATATTCACTTCCTTACTTTAAATATGAATTTCCAGAATTTTCTCCAGTTTGTTGGTCACACCCACATTATTTATTAGTACGTAATGTTTATATGTGCATATGTTGTTTGAGAAAATCTACATATTTGCATAATATAAAGCCATCATTTACTGTGACAACATTATCGTTTCAGGCTCGTCTGCTGGTTATTTTCTTGTTTGAGTCATAATTAGCTCGTCCACAGCTGAGAAATCGGCAAAAGATACTAAAAAAATACACCATTGAGCTATATCGTACCTCGTTTGGTGTATTGTATAATTCAATATAACTTCCAACATGAATGATTATTATGTAGGTTGAAAGCTGGGATCGCCTCGAACAGATCTGTACTTGGACAGAAAGTCTTTCGGCGATAATTCGAATAAGTGGATCATTACTAACTTCCCGTAGGGTAAGTTATTGTAATCGTCCAAAAATAAAAATTGAAATTTTTTTGCATATCTTTTTGTTTTGAAGGTTTTTGAACATTTTTGCATTTCTTACAAAAAATGGATGCGAGTGTATGTAGTATATTTATCAGCACGTTTTCGAGCACACAGATCAACCGATTTGAATGGTTCAAAAAACATTCGATTCCTATTGATAGGGAGATTTGCTGATTCGTTTTTGGCAAAAGTTGGTCCAGCTGTTTTGGAGTGACGGAGCAGAGAGTGAAGAAAATAGAAATAGAGTTTTTGAGAGAACGGAGCTTCCGATTTTAATTATCCAAAAAACATTCAATTCGTAATGATGACGCTTTATCTCCATTTTTAGATATGTATATAAATGAGATATGTTTGTTTTGGGTTTTAAGGAAAGTTGGGCTTCTAAAAGTTACATTTAGAAATATTGTGTAGTTATTTATTATTATCATGGCTCCAATGGCAATTCAAATTATAAGAAAGCTATTATTTTAAATGAATGCTGAAGTCAATGCGGAAGTACGTATAAATATGAAGTAATATGAATTCAAGGAACTTGCTCTTATTCACATTGGTTTATCATGTAATCATGCAGATTTCCACCATAAGTAGGAGTGGCAAAATAATTTTACAATTTATCGAAAAACTTTTGTTATCCAATGCAAGTAGACTTAATAAAAATAGTCAGTTTTAAAATTATAAAATTTGCGATTCGAGTTTTTTTTCATAATTTGTTTCAATTTAGAGAACATTACCTTCGACAGCGAGACTACGAGCAATTGTCGTTGAATTCGAGATGGTTTTTTAATTTTTAGGCATTGTATTATTTTTTGTACATTCATCGCATCGAAGTCATTTGAAAAATTAAATAACAAATTGATTCAGGTCTAGCGGTTTCAGAGATCGCGTGAAAAAAGTAAAAAAAATCCATTTGGCGATCAAAAATGATGATTAGACATATGCACACCAAATTATCAGATATTTTATAGATTTTTTAATAATAAAAACAAATTTTGTTTACATTTTTATGGGTTCCGTATTAATGTTCATCCGTTAGTATGCGACTCGGCGCTTCGATATTTCGGCTCTACGCAGCTAACTTAGCGAGATTACTTTGAATAAAGGTTCAACATTTCCAAAAAAAATCAAAATTCTCGAAAATCTTATTTTCTCAAAGTTGAAAAAAACTTAAAACTTTTTTAAAAAAACTTCGTTTTCGAAACGGGAAGTTCCGAAAGTATTATTTTTGATTGATCAGTTTTTGGGTGCAAGCAACTGCCCAATACATTCGTAACCAGCCATATTGTATTAATGATTGAGAGACAGTTTATATACAGGATGTATTACAATATAAGGGTTTAGTTGATACTTTGATATAATGAAAGGGATCAGGTTTTATTATCGCTATCCTGTATGCAGAGTGTTAAATGTAACTATATAATAATATTAGACTAGAGTTCACCCTTATTAGGCGTTACTAGTAAAAAACAAAAGTGTTGCCCTTTATGAATAGTTTTCTTGATGTATTTTCATTCAGCACTGTAATTCCTCAAGTAATAATAGTGTGTCACTTGACAATCGGTGTGTTCTGCTTATATGGTGAACAAGAGACATAACTGGCTTCAGCTTTTTACTGATATGATATGTGCTCATGACGTATTTGTTACACACGCAATTTATCACGGATATTTAAATGTTAACAATCAATACAGTACCGAAGCAGTTGTACAGACAATATTAATACTAAACTTGTACTGTATGACATTGCGACAAGGATAATTTTAGGAAGT